ATTGTAATACCACTGACAATTGATATAATATATATATATACGTATATAGCTATGTTATCTGCAATTTAATATTTATAATGTACATCGAAAGTGCATTCGTCGCGTTTCTCCTAAATTTGTTAACCGGTAACCGGTTTCAATCACGATAAGTCATTTATCTTTACTAGTAAGACCATTTCGTCTCTTTTTTTCTAACTTCCTTTCTTTTTGGTGCCACTTACAATCGCGTTCGTTCGCTAAAAGGATTCCGTTTCCTTCTTCGTCTCAACTTTTCTTGCACACGCACACTGTTTCGTCATATACATTTTTTGCGCGCACACACGCACACTGTACATTCCGTTACAGGGGACAAAAGTGGCCTGCGTACTCTCTCTTTTTCTCTCTCTCTCATTTCTTCGTTATATCTCTTTCAAAACACAACAAGCGAACGAAACCGCTCCGTAAATACTCTACTTTTGATATAAATAATAATAGCAATAAATATATCTGCCGAAAAATCTCGTGAGTTTTATTTCACGCTCTAATAACTATCGGTATATAATTCTCCAAAAGATTCGCCGCGCGCGCGCCTAAGTGTCATCCGTCCGATCAAACTGTCATTTATCTCCTTACGCTACGTTCTTCGTTCAGTCGACGCGACGCAACGATTTTCGACGATGTAGGCCCTTCGTTAAAACTTGCAATGTACGAGCTGACTGAGCCATCGAGGAAGAAGTTTGCCCGTGAAAAATCTATTTTTGATCTAAACAATTTCTCTTTAGGTGAAAAATTAAATAATAAACATACATACGTTAAAGAAACCGGGTTTTCTTTTAGTTGTAAATGCGTAGAGAGTTTATAAGAGCTACTTCTTCCCTTTTACTTTCATACGGCGTTGTATAAAAATGTGGCGTATATTAAACGTACTCTACTTACATCATGTAACAACCCGTAACGAATGTTCTTATAAAATAGCCCTATAAGTATTTTTTCCTTCTTTACTCGTGTTATCTTTCGCGACATTTTAAATAATTAAAAGCCACAATATGTTCGCTGTTGGTGGAGATGCATTATTAACGCCTAAAATCATTCTCGCTCGACAGCTCGTTTAATAATTAATACCTTCATTCGCCAACATTTGCATTCAGCATTAAACAATCGTACTCGTCGACTGCTCATCGCACGGCGTGATTATTAGTAAGGCGCGTAAATGTATATATGAATATACCTATTTACAATATCATGGAAAATATACAAAGAGCATCGGCACTACAGTATATATTCTCGATTCTTTTAAGACGTTTGATTCTTGCGTATATATGTCACTGAGGTAAGTTTTCACTGGTTTCTTTTTAAACTACGGTTACTCTCTCGCACTGCATTAATCGAGAGAGCGAAGGGACATGTACTCTCGGCAAACTGGTTCACATCGATCCCAGAAGACAAAAAATTAGCAAACTTCACGCGCCAAATTGAGGACCGCTTTTTTTGCAGATAAATCAACACACATTTTACATCTTTATTGAAAGATATGATGAGATAGATAATTTTATACTGCGAAACATCTACCAAAACCTATTACAATACTTTGTATGCATTGTATTAAATATACATAGATAAAAAATAAGAAAATTACGTATCATAAAATATAACTAAATTGCTATAAAAATTATAACACAATTAATTAGTAAAATTCAATTTAAAAATAGAAAATTTGGTAATTTTGTTGAATTATATAAAAACGGTCCTCAATTATTCAACTATGAGTCATTTGAAACGTCAGTTTGGGGCGAGGGAAATCGAATAAAAAATTATAAATGTCTTAACTTTTAACGGTCCCGTTGTGTGTATGTGTGTGTATGTGTATGTGTGTGTGTATATGTACAGCAATGCCAGCCATTTACGTATTCTTAAATTCTCTTTATCGTCTTCTTTTCATCTTCATACAGTATGTTTTACTGAAAACATGCAGATTTCGAAAATTGTCGTTCGCGGCCGGTGATATGTTTTTCGCCATTCATCAAATGAAACGTTGCGTTGCAACGCACTTGGTCAAGATGAAATGTTATGAACCGTATCGCAGGAAACGAGAGAATACGATTCTCCGTTGTCAATTTCTTTTATGAAACTTGTAGTGAGTAATATGTGATATCGCGAACTTTTGATTTATTTTGATATAATTGTCCTTAAGTAGAGATGCGCACCGGGAAAACTGCTCGCAAAATCTTCACGAGCTTTACATGGTATATGATATTTGTAATTACGAAAGTGATCCAAGTCACAAACATGAGAAAATTCAATTATGTTCCTTATTTTATTCATATTTTATAACTTACACAGAGCATATTTCAAATTTTTTAATTACGAAAAACAAGTAAAAAAAATAACATTTTATATTTAAGTATAATAAAACCTGTTAAAAATATACTTTAATACATAAATGTTTTATTATCTCAAAGTAAAAGATATGACTCAGGCTACTTTCTGCTTCAAGAACAGACAGAAAAAGTACAGTTTTTTCGACAAGACTTTGTTTGAATCAAGAAACCATCTTCGTGAAAGATGTATGGTTCCTCATGGATATATGTGTATATATATATGTGTGGTGACATCAAGCAATTATCTTTTGATATAGAATAGCTCCGATTTATAATTTCAGAAGCAAATCTAAGCTTAGAAACTCGTCGCATACGCGTTTTTTTGCTAACGTTAATTTATTTGTAAACTCGTTACACTGTTGGCCTTTCTTACATATATCTCTGCATTATTCGTTATTAAGATGTTTATCGTCATAGTTGACATATTTACAGGCGTAATATAACACTAAATCTGTACGGACCCGTTTTATGGCTAATTGTAAGTGTTATGCAGCTAGTGCAGTTATAGCGAAGTTTCTCAAGATCGATCATGATTCGTGTATACGCATGCTTGTCGAAGAAATCAAAGTTACAAATCGGAGAAAACGAAAATTATGTATCGCGCGATCTTTTTTGATACTTGCATCTTCTTTTATTGTCTATTGTACGTTTCCGAACGCGTCAAAATTATTTCAATCAACTTATGATTTTTGCCGCAACTCAAAAAATTTAGCACTTATATCGTAAATAAAATAAAATCAAAATCGAATTGCATATTCATTACAATTCTGCACACGTTTTAAAGAAATATGTCAACTCTCGATGCAACAATATATAATCAAGACAGGAAATGTTTTTAAATGAATGTAGAACTATCTTTTTTTCTCTTTTTTTTTTAGGAATATTGATTTTCTAAATATGACAGCATATTTTAAATCTTATCTTCAAAATTTCGTTTTGTTTTATTTCATCGTTAGCTATATATATGATCTTTTTTTTAAATAATCTAAAAATCTAAAATTTGTTATATATGCTCTGAAAAATTGGAATATTTAAAACGACATTAAAAGTCAATTGCTCGCGTGTGCACTTGTTAAAAAATACTCGGAAACCACACTTTACAGCGGATTGCTTCGTTATTATATTACTATACAAAATCGACCCGTAAATTATTTAATCGCAGCGTGTGCCAGGTTTACTTCGTTCGAGGAACATTGTTAAAAAGATGATCGCGCGGATCAAAAGCGTCCCTGCAGACGTGTGTAGATTAAAAATGGTTCAACGAACCTGTAGCCGATGTTGTCACGATTTAAAACAATTATTCAACACTCTGTATATAGCCTTCTAAAAAAATGCATTATTCTCTATGGATAGTGTAATGAAGGTTTGTTCTCGCAAAAATATCTTTTTAAACCTATACACGTTTGCTTACACGACCGCCCAAATATATGGGCGAATACATATTTTCAGGAAACATCCATGCCTTCAAATCGCACGTGTAAAATGTAAAAACCACGCGTAGTAATCGAGAGGGATCGTATAATATACATCAATCATAGAAAGTTCGCGTTTAAAACACTGTCTTTTCTATTACTTCGTTAATGGAATCTATAGGTGAGTGTTCGTCGAATAAAATAATCGTATGACAAATTATTTGCTTATGATAAATGTCATCTCCTTCTATCAATCCAAAAACGTCTGTGAAAAACTATCGCTTCCAACATTTTACTTTCTGTACGTGGTTATACATACATATTTAATATTAGGGTATAAATAATCTAAGAGAATGCATGCTGTAGGCCTATTTGGTATGAATTGGCCGTAATATTTTTTGCATATGTGTGTATATATATATATATATATATATATATATATATATATATATATATATTTCACTATTAATTACACATAATTGCAATTTTATATGCCTGACCATTTCTTTATATTATACAGATGCCGTTCATCACAAAACAGAATGCACTAAAGATGTTACAGCAGATGTTACTTAGGCTTTGTTGATAAATTTATAGGAAAAGGAGAAAAATGCTACAATTATACGAGATACTGCAATGTTGTAATACAATTCTATGTTTAGCGTTGCATTCTCTCATGGCCATCGTTTCTATATCCATCTAAAACATTTCTTTCAATTTGATAAATCATGGACAAGCTTTTTTTGATTATGTTATCGAAGACGCTTCTCGCATAATCATACGATTCTGTCAGCGTCCTAAAGCGTAATATGCATATATAGGAATGGGAAAGAGTTTTAAAACGTTTAAAGATTGTATAATCTTCCTTTTGCTCAAAGATGAAATCCTTATAATGATTCTAAAAAGAATTCCGATTGTTCGAATGTAGCAAGTGAACTATCATCGAGTATATATGACTGTATATTCAATATTTCATTACTTTCAAAGTGATTTTTGTAAAGAATATTTTTGCATCATTTATCACGTATCAACGTAGCGTCAGCATCACGTACTTTTGCATCTTACTTAATTTGTCATGTTAGAATCGTTATGTGTGTAACAAAACTTACCGCAATTAAATTAAGCCGCACTGGATTGTATCTGCTTCAAGAAATCGCAATCACTTCTATCTAATTGATCAATGGTCGATTGTGAAGTGTACCGGTAATTTATAGGATGTGTACAAATTGTGTGAATTTATTAATAATTTATTAAACGAAAAGCTGGCTAAGAATTACATTTCCGCGCAACGAAGATCCTCGATACTTGACGATTTACGACAAACAACATTGTCGATCTCGCGCGGATGTTTGCACTGTGTCACACGTTAAACAACAATGATCAACACGGATCACCGACATTGTTTCTGTTCGGCTTTGGCATGGTCCATGATAGCCCTCTTCGACGATCTCTTGGCCTCCGATTTGCCGGCGCCATTGATACCCTTCGAGCTGGTTGCCGGCGTCACCCTGGCCAATTTTTTCGTCTCTTTCTGCTCGCTGGAGGCCTCTGTCATCTTGTCCAGTTCCGCCATCGCCTCTTGTATCGCATTTTCCAATTGCATATTCAATTTACGACTTCTAGAAAAATAGGGGAGGAACGAGAAAATCATACAGTTAGATACAAATAATTACCAGCGACCGCACGTGCGGATTAGACCGATCAGAATAATATAAATAACTGAGATCGTAATATATAGAAACGCTAAACACACACAATCGCGACTAATAGACTCTGTCAAGTACAAATAACGATAATTGATCAGACGATATAATTAACGTGAACTTTTTTTCAAGGAGAAAACCCGTGATAAATGAATCACCGGAACATTTTTTTTCTTTCTTAAGGATAATTTAGATTGTGTTCATTTTTTATGAATTTTTTAAATTAGTTGTTTATACAATCGTCTATCATCTCGCGCGTGTGTTATATAGAAATTAGAATTATAATATATATTTAATATAGAGAATAAAAAGAAAGGGGAATATGAGAAGAAAGATGGCTGAGAGATATATATTGGAATAGAACCACTTAACATATTAATGTCCAGCACATAAAAATATCAATATCCTTTGGCTAAGTTAACGAGAAGAATATTGAACCGCAGCTACGCAGTAAGCTATGCGGGATAGATTTAATTGGCTGTTGGCTTGCTAATAAATATAACTATACGATTACAATCACCATAAGAGTTCTTCAATGAAGAAAGAGAAGATTTATTACTATTAGATATGAATTCGTTGCGAGATAGGTTTCTCTGTGTTTGATTTTTTATCGCAATATTTTCTAATAATGCGATAAAAAAATTGTAATATCTCGTGTGTATTAAATTTGTAGGATATCTATCTCGTGTAGCACGCGTATCACTCTTGGTTTATTCTTCCTCTTCTAAAAATGTACAATTATATATTTAATAAAAATGTAATACAATTTATACAACATTACGTGCATATTTTACGCAATCCTAAAAAGGCGACACAATGCAACTCCAAAACTATTTGACATTTATAATGCTCGAAATAAAAACGTAAATTAACATACAATATATATATATATATATATATATATATATATATATGTGTGTCACAATTGTAGGATCGAGAATTGCCGGACGTGGAAAAATGAAAATTTTAAAAATACTCAAGCATCTCTCCTGTTTTCTGTTTTCCCCTGATTATACATTGACATTAACGCGACTCTCTCACTCTCTCTATTAAGCAACAAGGTAATTCTAATAGGCTCTCATCTTTCGATAGTTCATCCCTGTCGGGGTGCTGACTCACTTCCTAAATTTTTTACGGGCGCGATGATGCGCCTCGAGGCCTTCGGAGAGGGACTTGAGGGCCTTGACTTCAACTTGGGTGCGACCACCCCCGCCCCCGTACCACCGGACCCAAACTGTCATAGTACCCGGAGGGCCCAAAGACTCGACTTTTCCCGGCCAGGCCGGACTTCCTCTTGCTGCACCCCACACTAGGTCACCGACCATCAGTTTCCACTGGTTTCCGTCGTCTAAGTCCTTTGTCTCGGCTACTGGGGGTTCCAAAGAAGGCACGGTATTTTTCAGAGATTTGTCATCTCGACTGTTTTCGCGTGATTGTGGAAAAAAAAATGACAAAAAAGCCCATCTCCGAGAAAAGACTTTTGTACAGACATATTGGATAGAAAACTAACGGCATATCGATTAATAATATTAATTATATTATTCGTTGTTACTTTTTATCTATTTTAGAAATTGATCGTGATATTTTTCTTCTATTGTCGCGATTTTACTTCACCAAATATCAATAATTGTTTTCATTAATTTTATATAAAATTGTGTGACATATTAATATTTTGTATTAACACTTGCTACGAATAATTACAAATTTACATTATTGAAACGATGAATGGAATTTTTAGTACATATATACATATGTATACGTATATACAAATTTGTCTTCATATACATAAATGAACATGTAATGATACGATACCGCATAATTTCCATCTGATACATCTGTATTGATCTCGATTACGAGATGTGCAACGCATAACAGCGAAACGTTATGCTTATAATGCGTGTCGCAGAGGAATGTTTGAAACTGATGGTTCAACTACTCGTCCAATAATAGATATTGTAACAATGTGCTTCTTGCTCGCGTATGTGCTCATTAAGAATGATTAGTAGCTTCATTCAATGGTGATAGGCGAGATCAAAGGCAGAATGAAATATCAGACGGTTCGAATACATGCAATGATTTTGTCGATATGAATGTTATTTATTCCCCTTTTTCCATTATTTATTCGTAAGACAAAATCACTTCATATGTATATCGATCAAGCGCGCGAATAAGCATTTATAAAAATTTATAATACTTAAAAATTAAATTTTAACAAATTGTGAGAAACTTTTCCCTCTCCTTTATTATTTTTAATTTTTCAATGCAAAGTTTTTTATTTAAAAAAAAATCATATTTTATGATAATTTATTCACTGTTGAGTACAATCAATAATTAAATATAACAATTGTATTTCTTTTTGCACGAGAGACTCGTCCTAGATGTGTTAATCCAACTTTATATTTTAAAATCTGATCTTTATTTCACATTTAGACCTCCATTCTTGGGAATATGCACATGCTATATGCAAAATATGAGGGTGTATATGTACAAGGTACGTTGTGTGAAATAACACACGGTAGTGAGCCACACCCCTTCCGAAATGAACATATGATTCAAGACCCTTGGCCACTCGGATGAGAATGTAATTGCATGGATGATGGTATTAACAAACCTGACAGCCAATTAGTAAACGCAAAAAAAGGGGACCTTCAAGGACATTATTTACAAATGTCAAAAGTTATTTTCTTCACTTCCCCAAGCGACGTCGAAGACTCGTACGTGATGAATGAAGGATATTTTAGTACTAGCGCCACTTACCTGCTCTCTTCGACTTCTCGTTTAATATGATTAATAAATGCGACGTTATGACGAATAAGTCGCTATCATAGACTGATTCGGAGAATTCAGTTCTGATACGCACAAAATATTTTCCCGGTGTGAAGCTTCGAAGAGGAAACGATTCCTCTCGACTTAGCGTCTAATTCGTGCATTCGCAGAAGCTTGAATATTATGAAAAAAAGGCTGCTACCAAAGCAATTGGAATGCAAGCAAGCGTTTTCATCATGCAGCAATCAAACATGCACAAGTGGAATAAATAAATTAATAAATAAATAGTATTAACACAAAATGGTAAAGCAGTAAGTAGAGTTAGATAATGCCTAAATGCCAATGATTAGATAGTGAGCGTGTACTTTTTTAAATTGCAAACAAATCAATTAAAGATAAAATCGTACTTTAAGACACTCTTAATAATAACATTCATAGATGATTATTTTGGTGACAAGGAGCAACGAGAAGCGCATTGTTTTTCCTCTCACGTGAACAAGTCAAAAATCAGTATAAATATAAATTGGCAAAACAATGATTGGCGCTTTACGTTCCTCGCTTTCACAAAAAGCAACTAATGAAAAACATCCTGAGGAAGAAACTTTCTTACAACACGTTTATCAGAACAAAATATTAATCCGATCAAATTATACATAATTTATAAGTTAACATTCTCGTATACAAGATGTAGAGAATATTAAAGTTTCGATATATTACTCGATTAAAAAGTAATTTGGAAATTTTTCTGTGTACGTAAATCCAAACTACTTCTTTTTCTCGTTTACGTGAATGATGTCGTTAAAGTTTCTTCGTAAAATGCTTTTACTGCTACTAAGCGGAAGTATATTTCAACTACTCGTATACGATTAACGTCTAAGAGTACCATACAATACTGACCATCTTGGTCTTCATGCAGAGTAGAATGCATGGAATGGATGGAGTCCAGCTTTCGCTTGATTCCGCGGCCGAGGGCATGTTCCCTGCCCTCGCACCTCACCGTGCTCACCACACCTTCGGCTTGCTTCAACGTCTCTGACGTATAGATCTGTCAAATACAACTCGATCAACTCAGGCACAAGCCTACCAATCGCATGCTAATATCATTTCACAGTGTATCATTCAGTGCCGATGTATTATTTTTCGTTACTTGAACTCTGTTTCATAGTATACAAGGAGTTTATAGTTTTTTCTCAATCGAGCACAGGAGACAAAAGCGCAAAATTCCAATTAAAATATTTTAAATAGTACAAAAGAAACAAACAAATAGAACTAAAAGAAAAAAAATTATAAGAAAATTTGTAAAATTTTTTGACCGATATCTCCGATGCTTCTAATGCAGAAATCACGCGATTCATCGATGCATGCAAACGATAATGATACCAAAAGAGACAAACTCAAACTCTGTTTACACATGCTTACATTGCAAGGTATATATATATATTTGTTCAGAATTGTATATAATTTTTATCAAAAAGAGAAAAGGATAATGTTCAGTAAAAATTTATTTTTTTCGTTATTATATATAAAAAAGTGATTTTTTGCTAATTAATCCGATCAACACACGATTAGTAATACAATTACATTATTGCAGTATTACACGATTTAAATAATAACGCTACGAATAAACGAGCGCTCTCCGCCATAGCGCGGATGTAAAAATTATTAACGTTAAATACAAACTAATTACAAACTTAATATTATCGAATGTAAACCGATCGCAACCTAATAATGCCACTGATATATCCATCTCATTTCAATTTACAAAATTAATTTTGTAACCCGCGCGAAAATAAAGGTGCGATTACTCGTCTGACGATGAATCACTCTCCTCGGCGTCGTCGCCCTCTTGCGCATATACGAATTGATTATAAACGTATGGATTAATGTAGGTTTGCTTAGGTGTGTAATTAACAACAGCAATGCCATTAGGGTCAGACCTATAATTATATAAATGTGGATACAGGCCGGATGGCGCGATGCCAACGTTGACAAATTTTTGCGGATACTCGGCATTTTCAGAACAGTAAGATAACCCGTCGTTATGTCGTTCCAATAATTTCTCTGCGGAATTTTGCTCCATCTCTTCTTGCTCCAAGACTCGCTCCTCGATTTGAGAAACGCGATTACTATCTACGCATGATTTGTCGTTGAACTTGTTATTAACCTGTGGTAACATGGTATAATGAGCGTGATCTGGCACTAAGGCTTGCTGTCGATAAACGTTCGCATTAGGGACATAATGTTGGCCATGATAAAGGATTGGTTGATAGTGACCGTGACTCATGATTGGCAACGGATTGACCTCAATCTCCGAATAGGAAACATCCGTCATTTCTCTACTGACGTTTAGTTGATCTTCCACAGTAGAGTGGTCCATTGTGTCTGAATTAATGGAATGATTTGGTGATGAAGTGTCCATATATTCCTGTGAGTCAACGTATGTGTTTTCTGGGTGTGTCGTATCGGCTGGCTGGTGCATGTCTATTATAGTTAGATGACGGTTGACCTGCTCTACGTGGGTACCAACCTGGATCCCAGTGGTCACTGTCGACTCCACGTAAGTTTTTCCGTGCAAGCTCGGTTGATTTAACGTGATCTCCTTGGTGGCGATACCCTGCATTCTCCAATCCTCCGATGCTACCTGTGCATCACCCGAATCAGGTTCGCTGCTCGAGACGCAATGAACCATAGGCTAAAAATAAATCGTGCATTACGTGATAATTAATAAACGCCATTACTCTTTATAGAAAGAGAAAAATTTTACATATTTAAAAAAAATAAATTAAATTTTCACTCGTTTTAAATTATTTTTTACCGTAGATGACGAGTGGTGTCTAGCGGTGATTGGAGGCGCTGGCGAAGCTGCACCGTGTGTAGTAGTGTCCACGGCCGGACTATTGGACCTCTGACTATTTCCTGGACTATGAGTAGTTGTGTCTGGTGGTGATCCTTGTCGCATCATCGCCGATTGCGCTACATTGGTTTGATTTCCAGCAGTTTGCGTCGATACTGAATGCCTTGCCATAAGCGGACTATGTTGCTCATTTTGTTGAGCCGTTTTTTCCACAACGGTTGTGCTACTACTAGCTAGTACATATTGCTGCTGCTCGATATTCTGGTCGGAAGATGGCGAATTTACTCCGCTCTTAGGAGAGGATGATGCTGTTTTCCCCTGAATCATACCGGAACTCAGAATATATGATTGATTGTGATCGAGATTTAAAGAAGGTTCAACCGTCTGTCCACCGTTAGAAGTTGCGCTTTGAAAATTTGGTATCTGATTGTTTGACACCATAGTCGTTTGCTGCTGCACGATCGTCGTGTTCTGTTGGACGAACGTTGTGTTCTGTTGATTCGATGCTGAAGAAACTGCAATGTTCTGCGCGGTAGCACAAGGTACCATAAGAGTTTGTCCATTCATCTGTATAAACTCTTGTTGACCTTGCATGTTTGGCGGTCTCACTTGCGAGGCATTAAATGTCACTTGCTGATTCGGGCTGACATTCGCTACTATCGGGCTCAGTTGATTCCCGAAAGATGTTGTTCCGTTCACCAGAAATTGGCCGCTGTTCGGTGAAAGAAATTGTGCTCCAGGACTATGCTGCTGAATTATTTTTCCACTGGTCGCTTGTGGGGCTCGTATTACCATACCGGCTGGACCAGCAGCTAATATACTTTGACTGGGATTGAATATACTACCGTGGCTCTGTACCGGCGTCAATACATTCTGGCCGTTGACGTTCTGTATCTGAAGTTGCATTCCGATGTTACCCGTATCCTGCAGCAACGTAGCTGTTCCATCAGCAGACATGACCATACTACCTAAACCGGGCACGATAAACTGCTGAATAGTAGGGAAATTCTGAACCATCCCGGTCGCGCTGTTCAATAAATTCACCGGTTGAAGTAGATTTATTTGCTGAGCCGGTTGAGGATTCGTGATTATTTGCTGAGTGTTAAATTGCGCAGATGCCGCTCCAGTTTGACCGTTCATAACTAACTGTGCCGGTGCTCCGCCTTTGCCAGGTACGATAGTCAGTGCCTGAAGCATAGGCCCGCCTATACTTTGAGCCTGAAAGTTCTGCTGCGCAAAGTTCGACTGCGATTGCATCAGCATACCGGCATTCTGCTGGGACGAGGCGATGTGTAGCATCGACGCCACAGTCTGCGGATTCGCTTTCCGTTTTTTATACGTCTTCTTCTTGGTCATCGCCGATTCCGGCGACAGTAATGCTGGCTGTCGATTCATCGTCATACCTTGGTTGGCATTGACGGTCCTAGATACATCTTGATTCGCATCGAGGATCGACTGAGTGTTTTGTATAACGTTGCCGGTAGCGACTGTTAGATGCGGTATCTGCACGTTCTGACTTATGCCGTCCATCGTCATCACGCCAGGTTGAATCAACACTGGTGTTTGAATTGTATTGACGAGAACTGTTGGTTGCCCTATCACTTGTTGGGCTACACCTACTGCAGGAATCACTTGGCTGACAGCTCCGGTTACGCTGGTGACCATTGGCGATACCGACAACGGTGGCATAGAACTGGCATTGGAAATTATTTTCGGTGGAGGAGGCGCCATCACGCCATTGATAGCTGACCCAGTACTCGCCATAATAAGTTGACCGCCGCTAGACACCAGTATATGACCAGGCGGTAGCGTCGATCCTGCAGAATGTTTTAATATACCACCAGAAGTGAGAACATTATGAACTTGAACGTTGGCCTGAGGATGCTGCTGTTGTGGCTGCTGCTGATGTTGTTGCTGGTGTTGTTGTTGCTGCTGCTGCTGGTGCTGCTGCTGAGTTTGCTGTTGCAACGAATTCGTACTTGTCTGAGGTACTTGTATGCTACTAACAACGCTTTGAACCATTTCAAGCGGAGACTTAGACACGCTCATCGTGGAAGGTTGACTATGAGGAACAGCGGAATGAGTCGTAACTGGCATATTCGTCAATGTCGTGGATTGCGCTTGATGCTGCGGTTTATTCGGCAAAAGATTGGGTATAGCGGGATTCGGTATCGCAGATGGTGTGTTTATGGAGACGGTAGCGGTATTTGCCCTTCCAGCTAACACAGACGTAATTGTATTACTGCTGACTGTATGACCGCTAGCCATGGTTGTTATCACGGACGATGTTCCGCCGAAAGTGTTCATAGATATCCTGGAAACCGCATTTATGGTATGCGGATGAGGTTGATAGCCGTCCAAGGAATTTTGCCTAGTCGTTATTTGTCGTTTCACCTGAGACGTTAAATTATCCGATGCGGGGGAAGACGTCTGAGACGGCGACGTGCTGGGTGGAATACAGCTGGAACTCATTGTGCCGGAACTAGGAGTCTCAGATCTTTGTTCTTGAATATTGCTACCAATCAATGATTGCGACGGCGTTTGCGGAGTTAGCATTTGCGATGACATTTGGCCCGATACGTGTGAGTGAGGCGTCGGCGGTTGCGAGTAACTATGCGGTGTCGCTGGTTGCGACGAGATAAGGCTCTGCGGGGTTGCCGGTTGCGAGATTCCGGGCGTTGAAGCAGCCGGTGTATCTGAATTAGCTGGACTATTCGTACCAATAGGAGATCCGTGACTGGTGCTCACAGTACCGCCTTGTATCGGTCTGGAATCAATTTGCTGTTGATTACTCGTTTGATATCGTTCACTAAACGTAGACGACGTGACAGGATCCTCGCGCTGATCCGTGTTCATCAGGTACTGTCGTTGCATCTGTTGCTTATATTGATCCTGAATGTAAGACTGCGTATCAGCGATAGTGGCACAGCCTTGACACGGACTGCTCTCGGAATCCGTGCTGTTGTTGCTCGATGTCGGTGTCATACTGCTGTGTACGACAACCGGCGAAGTCGCGTGATTCTTTACGGAAGCAAACGACGACGAGGTACTCGTAGGACTGGCGATAGAGGAAGGCTTTGGTTGAGAATTATAGGTGTTAGAGACATGCATGCCGTGATTGGCCTGAGGCGACGCTTTTGGATTGTTGTTTAACATGCTCACTTGAGAGCTACTGACACCAGTCTGCCTCGATATTGTACTGTTTAACAGCGCCGTTTGCTGGGCGAGGTATCCACTGGGATCCTCTAGGAACGAAGGACCGCTGCTATTGAATGTTGAACCTATCTGACTATTATTCTGCTGATTCTTCTCACTAAATTCATCTACTGGACTTGATGCTGAATGTTCTAGTCCGTTATTATTTGTTCTGGATGACTCTGCGACACTGTGCTGCCGTTGCTTTTTCACTACTATCTTATTCGACTTTGCTTTCTTCCGCGCGGCCTCATCCGTCCAATTGGAGGGCTGTGGAATGTGATGATGAAGTGGTGGCACGCGATCAAACGAATTGATATTCTGCACTGTTACGAGGGACGGTTGATGGGATACAGTTGCAGCACGATTTTGTTGCCACGGTGGTGTTCTGTTGTTAAAATGTATATTGCCGGGTTGCCCGTTTGGTCCCATACCAGACTGCTGCGCCTCGACAGCGTGAGTGGCGTTCGGGCTTCTTCCCGTGTGATTGGATAGAACGAACTGCTGTTGATGTCCCATCTTTGCATCCGCATTCGTTCCTTTCGAAGGATCAAAGTTCCTCATCGGATATTGTACTTGGTTCTGTGGGTACATCCGTTGAACATTCTCGTGAGGATTGTTTGGCAAGCCATTTTGAACTACGTGATGTCGCTGCATTGAATGATTATGTAGCAAAAGCTGCTGCTGCTGCTGCTGCTGCTGTTGTTGTTGCTGCTGCTGCTGCTGCTGTTGTTGTTGTAATTGTTTTGCATTTAGATCTTCATCATTAATTGATGGTGCTCTATTGTGTCTATTCTGAATGTCGGTAGCATTGATGTTAGTCATAATGGAGCCATTTTGCTGTTGCATAACGTCTACAGAATGATGATTTAGCTGTTGGTTTTGATACTGTGGTTGAATACACACTTGCGACAGTTGTTGCTGTTGTTGTAGCTGCTGCTGAATTTGCATTTGAAAATGATCCGTTGATTGTGGTTGCATAGTATGTTGATTCTGTTGGGGTTGCTGCGACTGCATCTGATGCTGATGAACTTGATGCAATTGCGAATGAAGAGCTTGATTCGACACCTGCGGTGACTGCACATGATGTACATAATTTTCTACAGGATGCTGGGAGTAATTTGTCGATTGTGATTGATCTACTTCCTGGGTCAAATGCTGCTGCTGCTGTTGTTGCATATTATGTTTTTGAATTTGCTGCAAATGCAGTTGCTGTTGCTGCTGCGAATTCAAGTGCTGTTGCTGCTGTTGTTGCATCACGTGCATCGACTGTTGATTCAGCTGATTTATATAATGTGGAGCTTGTTGCTGCGCTAATTGATTCACCATTGTGTTCTGCTGTTGTTCCTGCTGCTGCTGCAAGATTTGCATATGTTGCAGCTGCTGCTGATGTGGTAACAACTGCTGCGATTGTTGTTGTTGTGATATATGCTGCTGAATGAGTTGCTGCTGTTGATGTTGTTGCTGTTGTTGTAGGATAAGTTGTTGCTGCTGCTGTTGTTGTAAAAGCTGTTGCTGTTGTTGAGTCATATTATTATAATTTGTATTCTGCTGATTCATTATCAGCGGATTGTTCATCAGCATGCTCGACATATTGTGTTGATTTAACCTCTGCTGAGGATTTCTCGCACAATTGTTCACATCATGATTCTGAGAAGGCGAATTTAAAGACTGATGACAGATTTGTTGGCCGTTTTGCTGGACTTGCAGATTTGGGATCGCGATTGGCCATACCTAAAAATTAAATTATAATAAGATAAATATTATCACACAAATATCTAGTGAGATATGAAAAAAAAACAATATGTTCTTAATTTTATAATTACATAGTTAATTATATAGTACAAAATAATAAGGATATTGTGCTGCTTAATGTTATACAAAACACGACAAAAATATGATTTTCGGTTCAGGAAAGAACCCGACAATTTGCAATTCTATTATAATTAAGATTCAATTACCTGCGATCCATTAGGCACCGGTGAACCTTGAACTCCAGATGCCGCTACCGCGATAGCTCTTTCCGTTGTGCCAGAAGTTGCGAAACCGAGACGCCGGAATAAATGCCGCCTATGCCTCCCAGTTTTCTCTTCTTCTTCTTGCTGTGACCATCTGCGCACGTCAATAAAGTGTCTCTTAATAAACTAGAATCGGAATTCAATTATATCTTCAATTTGTCGGCATCTACTTGAAATTGATTCGACAAAAGCATTTTTCATTCAGAGTGAAATTATGAAAGACAATAAGTCTCGGGCGCTAGAGAAATTAAAGTACGACTTATTCGCCCTAATCCCGCGCCGTCGGCTTTTTCGCTTATTATTCAGGCGATGTTCCAAGCTTCTTAATGAAGCAAATGTTCCATTTGAAATCCCGCCGCAAGGTTAAATTGTATTTAGCCCGACATTTCCGTGCTTTAACCCCTCCGCTTTTATTTAAAACGTCAACCTTTTTCTCGATTTGTACCCTTTCATCCCAAAAAATATCGTTTCACGTAAAAAATATCGTCAGTAATAAATCAAGACCTAATGTCACACGCATTAAAAAGTGAATTGTATTATTATATAATTAATTATCACATACCATCGTTTAAATAAGTTCTCATAAGTATTTCATAAAATTTATAAACTACAGAATTAAATTTTAATATATTGCCTCGCATATATCTTTAAAACTTATAAAAACAAAATGTGAATTAATATAAAAAATAAATTTGCATGATTACAGTATGCAATAAAATATATTTTAATAATACATAAATAAAATAAATAGAATGTACAAAAATTTTCTCTATTTTGAGAATAAATATTTTAAAAGACAAACTTAAAAAGTATACAATTTTATGAAATTGCAATTTTCTCTCGATGAATAATAAACTGTACACAAACAGAAAGAAAGATAATGTGTGCGCATAAAAATACAAAAGTCTATCAATATTATATCACATTAATAAAATAAATGGTATAAATATATGCACAGAAAGAGAGATGAAAGAATTAAACAATTTTATAATACTTTGAAAACATCATCATTTGCATGTCTAAGTAAGAACAGTCGCAAGGACCATCGACGCTTCCGAATTACCGTGATTTACGAGAACGTGTTAGAAGGGAGGAGAAATAAGATTTTCAGCGGGGCGACAGACTAAGGGGGATCTTTTATCTGTAAACCTACAGAAGATAATTATTCTTCGTGCGCGTCGATTGGCGCGGGGAGAGAAAAGCCGGATAATTCTCGGCGAAGAGGGAAGAGCATGAAAACGACGAGAAGAGAAAGCGAAAGAGGAGGGTGATCGTAGTAATGAATCTACGGTAAGGTAACTTGTTCGTCCCGATGGCAGTTTAACCCGCTTTTCCAAAGGAGACGGAAGATTTGCGTAAAATCTTTGGATCCATTTTGTGGCTTCCGGGGTTTTCGCGCGAACGCGTAAAGTCTCCCCGCAGCCATTTACTTGAAATGCCTGCAGTCAATGGCTCGAGCAATAAACGTTCTCGTCGTTAAACTCGATGAAAGAGGGCGACGTAGTAATTGGAAGATGTACTTCGTCGTTTGCGGCTGTTTTTAACCGTCTCAGGTATTTGGTTCTAAAGTACGGGATGCTCGCTGTTAACTTGCTCGTAGCAAATGATTGGTTTTAGTGAAATGTATGTCTGTTAAATATTAACAATTGAATTATCAAGTGCTGACTAAAATTTTATTTTCCGACATTTGAATTCCGAATGAATTAATTAATTTGAATTATAATATGTTAAATTATACATGGTGCGATTTATCGCCAATGAGATATTGGAGGAAAAATTTAGATGTCCTAGTAAAGTGAATTTTAATCGAAAGCATGAATATAAAGTTGTTTATGAAGAAAGTTTTCGATTTCTTCAGGATTCGTACGATTGAAAATTTAAACGATTTCCGAAAGGCAAGTTAATTCCAGTCGACGAGAGCATCAGTTTGCTCATTTGACAAAGCTAGAGATACAAACGCACCTGTGAAGGTGATATTCGTAATCTCGCGAGATAAATCCACTCTTCAGCGATCCCACTGACGCAGCAGGGACGAACGTTGGTGGCATCGTCGGCGCTTGAACTACACCTACAACGAGGAGAGTGAGGCACGAGGCGTCGCGATTGAACTTTCGAGCTCCAGCAATCTCGACGGCAAATAACTCTCTTTAATGCGAGCATGAAAATCCGGCGGGATCGCGTCGTTACGCCGTTACGCCGAGGCGTTGATGCGGACTGAGCGGAGCGAGATTGAAATGCGCTTGCGCGACCAAGCAACGGGAGCGGACGTGAGGGTGACTCGGGGGAGAGACAGAGAGAAGAGTAAGGACCCGCCGTCGAGGGAACAAACGTCACTCCCGGGGCAGGCGCAAGAATCACAACCGGACACAGTCGTTGGACCGCAAGACCGCTCTCTCTCCCTACTCCTTGTGCGCGCGATCGTACGAAATTAACCCTTATCAACTCTGTGTCTACCACCACCAACCTCCCCCGTGATCCCCACCGCGGGGGATTACAGCCTGACTTCTTTCATCCCCTTCCTCTTGTATCCACCACCTTCGCGGTACGTCGTCATCGTCGTCGCTGGCAGCGAAGGGAAAACGGATTCTTTCCTCCTCCCGGGACTTTATTGATCGACGCCGCGATAAGGCCGCGAGCCGGCCGATTGGTCTAAGGATATAGCTGCTACACCGCGATCTATTCTTTTTCACCACGCAATTCGAATTGATATATTTCAGCTATTCACTTATCAACGATTATGCAAAGATCAATTTCTCTGTTTGATTAGACTATGTATCAAATGTCTCATTAACTTGAGATCTCTTCCTTGCGAATCGGATCTCTGCGTTTATACCTCGTTCTGACCCTACGCTTGTTAAGGAGATTATTTTTCTCAGCAGTGTCCTATGTAAACACATCTTTTGAAAAGAATACAAGGGCCTAATAGACCCGTCTAGTGTAGGCGGAAGAGTTAATCTGTTTACACGACACGATAAGCAACGAAAACAAACACTCGCATGCAAGTCAAATCCACTAAAGAATTTTTTATGGTTCGCCACTGCAGTGTGAAATACGGTAGCTGCGCGAGGGTGAATCGTCGGGGTTTGTCGCCCGTACAATCTCTTCTGTTCGTTGCTGTCTGGGTGTCGCCGTAACTGCCACGAGGACAAAAGTGATCGATCGAGCTCCAAGAGAAACTGTTTACAGGGAAAATTGCTTGGCGCGACAAAAGATTGCGCAAACCGCGAATGTAAGCATTATTATTCGTTCGATAATTGTGTATAATACGTGTTGAACGCGTTTCTTCGTTTTTTCGATTATCCAAAATAATGAGATTGGACTGATTATTTTAATGAAATCAACTGGATTCTAGATCTGAAATATACATACCTAAAATATTGTATTCAATGTTTACTTGTCACTTATAAATGCAGAAACAGTTTTTAATTTGACAAGAACACATTAAACACATTTGGTATATAATCCGAGAAAACTTGGCAATTAATAAATGTATAATTAAACGTTCACCACTTCGGATAATTGTGATTTCCATTTTGCTCTCGTGACCGACAAAACAGGTCGAGAAACAGGCGTTCAATCATTCCTACTCCCAGCGCGGTATATAATCCATCGTACGTAAGCAAAGACCCTTCCCTCCCTTTTAGCTCTTTTAGCAAAGTCAAACTGAAAATCAGAAAAAGGGGGAATTAAATCGGGCTCCCAGCGGGAGTGAGCGCGTTATGAAAACTCGACGTTTCACGATAAAGATTCATTCTCCACTTATTCCCTTTGCCGGTTTTTTCCCTGTCCGTGTACGTATGTGTTTGCGCAGAGACCGATGGTGCGGTAAAGAGAAGGAAGTCGAGGGAAAAAAGCTACCAACCCTCCCATATCCAGCGTGTCGTTTTATATATCACCGGAGAATTGGAATCGAAGCGGGCGCGAGCGTGCGTCGATGTTAAAACGACCCTATAAAGTCCCATAAAAACATTGCCAACGACTTGTACGTATGTACATATATTCGTACCTACACGCAAAACATCGAGCGTGTATAAGTTCAACTTTAGCCCCAGATTTCCAGACGCAAGCGCGAAACTATCCGCCCTCTCTGCTCGATGCTGCGCGCACGAGTGCGCCTATGCACCGGAATGCATCGCGCTAATCTATTTACGAGCGGATACACAGCGAATCGATCCATCTTTGTTGTTGATAATTGCAGAGCAAACTCTTTACAGGAACGAAGAAGAAAAATAAACGTGTGTGTTATACGTTTTATAAATATATATCCATTCTCTTCTCGTTAGAAAATCACAAAACGTATAAACGTAATTTTAATGTAATCTTCGAATTTTGCAATGTGTATAAAAAAATTGTAACAATTTTGGAAATATTTGTATTTTACTTGATGTAAATATACATCATTTTCGCGAGTAATTCGATGTTTGAGAAATGAGAGGCGTTCTCTTCCGATCCTCGCCCTCCGCGAATAATATTAAAACGTGCAGTTACGAGAGAAGCCCAGGGTGGAAGTTTAATAACCGTTGGTCGCCGACACGGCCGCGTCCGGCTTTCAATCTACACAAGCGGATTATAATTTCTAGCCGACGCAATTTGGAGTACAGGTACGCTGGGATCGCGCGTTCGTCGCGCGTTCTACAACAGCCGCTTAATTAACGGCGCGGAAGTAAGGAAAAAAGGGAAAAAAAAGAGGAAGGGGAGGGAAAGAAGCAACGCGGCGGGACGAGAGGGTCGGTTATGGGATTTGGTAATGAAATTCGGTGGAGAGAGTTTGGCGGCTATAGTGATACATCATTCCACCACCCTGTCTCCGTTTCGCCAACCACCGCGCATTCTCTCGAGCTTTAATGCGCCAACGAAGAAAAGACGATCCTGAAAACGGGAGGAAGGAAGGGGGTGGGATAGGGGGTGAACCGACTAATGCCGCAATTTCGTCGTCCTTCTTCCACCGACTCGATTTTTTCCCCTAATGATCACGGCTCACTTGACGGGGTGGAAAAACTTTTGGTCTTCCTCCAATAAAAGTTGGCACGTGTTTCCCGCGCGACGTTGAATAAACGTCTCGGCGATTATGGCGCCGGTTCGACGTCCGATTTGACAGAAAACTTTGTTAATACCCGGGATCGATAGAGAAAGTTTCGCGGGCACGCGTGATACGAGTTTGACTGTCGAGATTGCGAAGAATGAATGTTGAGAAAATCTGGATTTAGATTGATCGCGAGAATTTCGTCTAACGCGAAAAGAATTGAAAAATATTATATCGTATAGTATTAAATATACTACTTGTCCACTTTGTAAACAATTTTTGATGACTTTTGACGACAAATTTTTCGACTCAAATATATCATATTTTTTTGACAATTCTTACCTTTTCTGGTTTTATCCGGCGACGTGGGCGAATCGGCATTCGCGTGAATCGAGGTCGTTGTCGGGCCAGAAGATAAAGTCGACGACGAGACCGCCGGTGTACAGGACGCAACAGGACTGGAGGCCGCGGCCGGCAGCAGAAGTTTCCTCTTATGGTTGCAGAGCTTGGTCATCTCGCGCGTCTTGCCCTGATCCGGGCTCCAAGGTCGTGTCGCAACCTGAAACAAGAACGCGCCGCTCGTTATTCGTCTGATTGTATCGCGCAGCCGGTGTGCGATCGGCTAACGAGTTAACTTTCAATCATTTCGAATGCACGATGAAAGGTCACGCAATATCTTTTTCAATACTTCAAAGTACTTGGAGTATTTTTTTAACAGCTTCAAGTCAACGTTAAATCTTGGATAATTAAATTAATATTGTCAAAATTTATTTCATACCTCGTCGAGAGGATTGCCTATAAATCGATGAATATCGATGCCTGCAAAACAGCGAGCAAAGCGAGTAAAAGAAAGAGATAGCCTTAGCTGACGATGCTCATGAAACTCATGATCGATGCGCGATGTTGCGAGCGAAGTTAAAATGCCTCCGAGTTGAAAGGCCAATGCCCGTAATGGCCGGACCTTGCCGTGTTACGTGTCAGCTCGGGAGACTTTTCGCAGCAATTTATGGCCGCAAACACGGTGCCATTACAACGTATCGTAAGTAAGATAATGCTACACTTGATATATAAGAGCTATCCGTATAAAGCGCCTCGCGCGAAATGTTAATCATCGTTTCCTCGATGGCCTCTGATGATACTGACGCGCCATATCGGTAATCACTAATGATGAAAACATGTACAAAGAAAATTACTGCTATAAAAAAAAAATTCGTAGCAAATTCGCGAATTTGTTTAGAGTTGAAGACGCGGACCGTCGAGTTTTAGCGGAGCTGGCGGAAATTATTAGATTCCGCGCAACAGAGATTTATCGCACCCTACCTGAGCTAGTACCTAGCAAGTTAATTAAGAACGACCTGAATGCGGCGCCGGTTGGCCTTGGCATCGAGAGCCAACGAGTGTAATGATGTATACAAGCAGTTAACTCAATCAGTCCTTTTCTCCGACTGGTCTATCATTCATTTCGCTTCTGACCAGGCGCTCATCAACGGTGATCATCCTCACCGGGTTAATGGCGCTCACGATATATCGAAGAGAGAATAACCAAGTTTGTACCGTAGACATGCGCGACCCATCTTGAAAATATTGTGGATCTATCAAAGATCCTGTCGCGATAAATAATACAAAGGATTATAATTTATGAATCTATTGCGGCTGCCACGTCAGATCAATCTTTCAATTAAGAAAGTAGTTGATCTTTGATAATAGACACTTGACAAAAAATATATAACAAAAAAGTGATCCGATTGCCAGTTGAAATTTTGAAATAAAGATAAAAAGGAATTGATTGACCGACACTGGCTAAGGTGAGAAATCTTTTATTAAAAAACTTTACAATATTGTAAAGTTATATGTCAAAATGAACACTGCTGTTCTTTTATTACTTTCAAGTTTGTCATATTCTGATCGGTTACAACAAACAGACACTATGATCATTTAGTGTACTTTAAATTAACAGCCTGAAGAGGACCCAATTCGGGGTCGAAACGTTGCGTCTTTTTTAATAAAAAATTTTTCACCTTAGCCAGTGTCGGTCAATCAATTCCTTTTTATCTTTATTTAAAAAAAAAAATATATATATATACAAAGCAATGTAACAAATATATAAAAAGCTATTTAAAAAAGTAAAATTTTTTTTAAACTTAAGAAAATATATTCTTTGCGGAGAACAAAGCACTACGAGACAAAATGTGTGTGTGAAGAGTGAATTTTTGTTCATTCGCTCGGCGAGAATTGCGTCTGAGCGTGCAATTGCGGTTACGTCGTACGGTCATATATTAGCAAAGCAAGGTGTTTGCATCACTACCTAAATAATCCTCGGCCCACTGAGAGAGTATATACGTACATACGCGGGTTACACCGTCGCTGCTTTCCACGGCATTATTTCCCGTCACACGCCGCCCGTTGCACGCGAGGTAATCACACGGCGACCGGCGCGGCGGAAACCGCGATTTAATCCTTTTTCTCGGACGCAAAATGAGACGCCGTACTGCGACAGCAACGACTTTAATATGATAGCTTTTACCCGTCCTCTTATCCAGTGCCCGTGTTCCGGTGCCCCGGGAACATGGTCGGGTATCTCTTTTCCTCTTGATTAGCCGATCCCGAAAGGGAAAATAAACCGCGCTACACGCACTGCTTGTAATTATCACGAACCAAACAAGAGCCAACTATAATACACGTTTCTACATAAAACTGCTTTACATAATAGGTTACTGTATCGCATATACGTAATTGCGATGAATTATTGCATCGGAAAAAAATAAAATTGATATCATAAATCCTTGCATAGAATCTACATATAATTAAATGTGTGTTTACAGCGTATAAACTTTAGCGTGTCAATAACAAATGCTAAATAACGAGAGATAAAATATTTAAAAAAACATTATCAGATGTAAGATTACTCTCATTTTTCATTTCTCTAGCAAGGATAGCTATACTTAATTATAAAAACCCTACAACAAAAATTATGATAAAAAAAAACTCGTTAAGAACGTAATAAAATTATCACGTATGTAATTCAGTCTTGAAGGTATAATTAAAACTGTTATTCACTAATTTCAGTCAACTGGATGTTTGTGAATAATTATATATAAAGTGAATCACGATTCATGCATCGATATAATTAATATGGACATAATAAAATTTGCGAAAATGAATATTTTCTCGTGCCAAATTTATGCATTTCTTGGCGCACGAGTGCAGCGAACGACGAGTGCGCGAGTCGCGAGTTTGATTTCGAGGGAGATAAATCATCGTGCCAACTCTGGATCTCGGGATCCAATCAACTCTCCACGGCATGCACCGTCGGCAGGGCCCCGTATTCCTCACGGCATGGCATGGCACGGCACGACGACGACGACGAAGCGAAGCGGCGCGACGCGCTGACCTCGACGTCGTTAAATTAAATTTATGCCATTCCCGCGACGTCCTCCTCCGCCGTGCAACGTACATATACATATACATATACCATATGCGTTTATCGTTACCGCGCGACATTACGTTGAATTAACGTAACAAGGCTATTAGTCTGCGATTTTACGACTTTAATCGTGACAGCGGGACCAAACTGCCGCGTGCTCTCTTTCTCTCCCGAGTCTCACAAATTGGCTCTCGAGACAATCACGCGGGAGCACGTCGTACGTATCTGTCAACTGTGGATAATTAAATGTGCGTATGTGCGTATACACACGATTGTTCGCAGGTAACATTCCCAGAGAATTGTCGGCACGCTGATTGCGCGGGAAACTGCGCGTGTCTCTTTCTCGTTACGAGCGGTAGCTCATTTGTTACGGCAAGTACAAGCAATAATGTTCGCTAAACCCTACAGCTAAATATAATCGAGTAAAATAGCGAATGTCGTTGCGTGTAAAACGAGGTTAAATCCATTATCGGAGTGTCTCATGATTTTATATATTATTACAAATGTCCTACAATATATGCAAGCAACAGTACGTAATTTAATTATATCGAGTATACAACTCGAGGCAAGCATTATTATTTGCACTGGTCCTCGTAAGTTTGCAATGCATTGTAATAAACAACAAAATACGATTATTGTGTTGCGTATAATGCAATCAATTTATTTTCAAAGTATCTTTTTGATTTTAACCTCATTTTTTGCGTTACGATTTATAGGACGTCATGCATATGTTTTTCATTTCGCGCGTTCATTTTCACGATGATAATATAACATTTTATAGACTCGCGTTATTAAACTTGGCCATTATTAAGAGTCTCGCATCAAAGCGGGAATATAGATCGACAATGAATGTTCGTCAATGCGAATATCTAATTTACGATCGACGCTGCTGTTCCCGCATTAATATCGCCATTATTGAACTCAAGCAACTATCGGACGTTATAATGAAAGGTGCGTGGTAGTCGTCTACAAAGAACATTCGGTGTTGAAACGCGTCATTGCGAAATGAGTTGCACAGCAGTGACGTGCAATTAATTTAACCGAATACCTAAATTACACGTTAATTACTAAAGAGTAACGGGGCGCTATAAGATGAGAGAGCGCTTAAATTTCAAATACTGTCATTTGACACACAGCTAGAAAAAAAAATCATATATTTAATCTAATATTATCGATTCGCAGATATTTCGTTTAAAATATTAATATGTAATAAATATTAAAATAAAAAAACTGATTTGTGAGTGTGGCATTTTTTTTTTATATGGTTCGAAAAAAATTTGTAATTGAGGATACGAAGAATCTAGGACGCGTATTTACGTCACCGCTCGATAATTAATTAAACCGTTAATTGTGCGGCCACCCTCATTTCTCGCGAAAGCTTCTTGTTCGGATTACGACACGTGCAGCAAAGTGTTCACTTTCGAATAATTAGTTACTCGTTCAATGAACGAATATTACAATTTCTGTCGCGTCTGTCAATCGATATTAAACCGAACAAACGTCTCTTATTATAGATACGACGGATGATAAAATTGAAGGTATATTATCGTAAATCACAGTAAGCTCGATCAGCTGTGATATTTCAAAAGTCAATCATCGACACGTGGGCGTTGCCACAATATCATAATATCGAGGATCGTGATGACGGAATAGAAAGGACAGGAAGAGAAAAAACGTTCCACGATTTATAGTCTGGTATTCGATCAATAGATGATAATTAACTGGTTGACTAACTGATACCAATTCATCGTGCGATAAGTCGCTCTCTCTCTCTCTCTCTCGTAGGATATACGTATATATAATTCCTCGTAGAGGAAGGAAGGCTTTATATGTTAACGATGATGCTCGTAGCAGAAAATGAAAGGGGGCGCGTGCTCCCTGATGCTCGCTTAATTACCACTCGTTCATGAACGAGTGATCTAACTGTTCACGCTCTTCTGCCACGAAGCTTTAACTTTTTGCACGAGACAGTGATAAAAATAAAGTTGACGATGTAATAAAATAAATAATCGGCAATTAATGCATACAAAGTTAATTTGAACAGAGATGAATAAAAGATAATAGACATCGATTGCCTTCCGTCGTAATTTTCGCGAGTAATTAAATTAAATTAAGTTAATCGTTCGCTTAATTGT